TGTACTGTATTTCTGTTGGTTTGTACTAAATAACAATCTATATATTAATAGGCAAGCATGTTTCTTTAAAACCTTTTTTCTCAGCTCGTGTGCATCGTAGGGAAAATCTACGCATACCGTTGGAAAGCTATTTTCCTGTAGGTGTGCAGAATCCCTTTATAAATTTAAATAGGCTCAAAGATAAGCACAAAAAATAAGTTTAAAAGTTGTAAAAAATTAACATGGATCTTATGCGTTGCTATGCTGGTTACGAAATAACAACGAAATATAAACAGAAAATCAAAACAAATGGAGGAAACTCCAATCACATGTTTTATTTACAGTGTGGGGTGAAAATAGATAAGTGAGTACATTACATATTTTTGGTCGAGTTTCGACCACTGGACGACCTCTCGTTAGTTTTTACTAAGTGAACGATTTTAAAAAACGATAGCAATATTTAAGCCAAATGAACTAAATTGCTAAAATAAGCTTTTAGGCTAAATCATATTACTGGTTGTACAAGGAAGGACTTTGTCTGTTGCTCAACTTATTTTCCCCGTAGAAGCCTGAAGAATTTCCCGTCCTCCCTCGACGACTCGCGGGTCAGATCACATGTTTCAAGCGACCCTATTATCTACCTACCAGACCCCCGGGTCAGTTTGAATGATCCAAAACTACCCTCTGACCGCGGATCAGTCTGTATGCAGCCACCTAGTCGTATATATACTCATTTTGTGGTCAAAAAGAAGGAGATTTTGAATAAAATTTATCAAAAGCCCCAGGGATATTTTTGCTACACAGTTGAAAAACTAAATTTTGCAATACATCTTTCACATAAATTCAAATAAAAAAGGGTCCTGAACTTTTATGTTAAAAGTGTGTGAATAGTTATTATAACATAAAATCCAAGATATACACAATGTATACACTTGTATTTCCATGGAAATATTTATGATTTTACAGGGGAAGGGTGTCTTCCAACCGGGAATTGTACTTAATTTTGGGCTGGCCATGAAATGTACGGGAATTGTCCTTAAATGCCAGACTATGTCCTTAAATTTGTAATGGACATGTTTGTTTACATTTCCATAATTTATTACTAGGGGTATTATGCAATAAAAACCCCATTAGTACTCTCAAATCCCATTAATATTTTATCAGGACGATAATCATTTCCAGCAAGTACTTCCAATAACTAGCAGCTTAGCTCATTAAAGTTGTATCACTTTTATTCCTTTACAACTTCATTACTAGGGTAATTATTATGAGATCCCAAACCTATTTTATCATAAAAATAATAGTTTTATAATGGCTGTTATATTTCACTTCTTACTCATAATTTAATCTTGAACCTTCAATTTGCCACTGGCCATTGCCTAAATCTGCCATAAAACTGTTTATGGTTTAATATTAAACTTGAACTTATATAAAGTCTTATTTTGTAAGTTAAAACCTTTTTTTTGTGTATATTGTACTTTCAATACACAAAACCCACAAGCTTTGTTGTTTGCATTAAAGTTTGTACCTATCATTAAGGAGGCCTACTTGGTCTCAAATCATGTCATCGCATTTTCTGTATTTTTGTCTTATATTGTTGGCTGTTCAGGTTTCAACGTTTTTTGTTTCCCATATTTGCCTTGGGCCCGAACGCTACACAGTGAGCCACAGACTCACTAAACTGTTTTATATCGGTTGAAAAAGAATAATAAGTTATTCAAAGCTGTATGTAAAATTCACTGTATTATATGACAATAAATTGTACAAATAATTATAGTTAATATATTTCTGAACAAGAATAATTGTCGAGGAATTTCAGACTTTACTGCGCTGACGTTCTTCCAAACGACGAGTAGCGATTGGTCGACTCTCCTACTCAAAACGATCAGCTCGTTTGTATGTTCTTCATATTGCTTGGCCATAAGATCTGAAATTATTTCACTACTTTCATTCTTCGATGTGTGACCTGGGCCGAGATTCTGAGACATTTGGTGGGATTTATTAGCTGGTTGGGTCTGGTTCGGTTGTAGACGAAGTGGTAAAGTTAGTTTCTTGATGATCGATTGTAGTAGCTTCTTTCCCTTGCAGATTCTGTATTATTTATTTTCGCTTCGTATGCGTTTAATTTTAAATCTTGAAAACATTTAACACTAATATTATGTAACTAATAAAATAAATAAATACAACTATTCTTTCAAATGTTTAGTCCAAACTAACAAATACAGTTATTTTTATTTACATGTCAAATCAAATAAATTATGACAATCAAAATAGCCTGTAACAGCTGTTTTTATTAACTGCCGCTACAAAAAGGTGTTGCCGATAACATGGGCACTTTCAAGGGCTGTAGGACAGAAACCGGATTTTCCCCAGCATTGTGACCAACTCCAATCGATTTCTCGTAGCCAAGTACCCCATATTCAACAAAAAAATCTAAAATCCTTGGATGAGTGAGCGTAGTAAACGAACTTCAACTTGGAGGCGAGTTAGCGTAGCGAACGAGCTAACCTGAAGGCAAGTGAGCGTAGCAAACGAGCTCCAGCCTAAAGGTGAGTGAGCGTAGAAAATTCAACCTGGATGTGATTGAGCCATGCAAACGAGCTCATCTTGAAAATGAACAAGCATTTTATCTAAAACCACATTAGGACAGGACGACGTCTGTCGGGCCAGTTAGTAAATAAATAATCATGATTCATACAACATTTAAGGTACAATGTAATAAAAGCACGATTCAGACGAATGTTGCCTTACTCATAATCTACTAATGGCTGTGATGGGTTATGGGTTGCCAGTTGAGCCATTAGGGCACCAACCGTCCTCTTAACCAGAGCATTACATTACGGATTGACGTGAAAATTCTGGTTTGGTCTTAACGGCAAACTTGATGTTGGTAATCCTGATGAGGGTTTGAAATAAATAAACAGTATTGTTGCGTATGATTTTAATAATTTATTTTTTGTAATTTTTGCTGGAATAAAATCTTTTACAAAAATCAAAATCTCACAAAAAAACACGCCCCCCCAAAAATTCTGATGACGCAAGTTGCTCCATGCCCGCCCTCTTCTGGGCACCCCTGCTTGGGACTTGATTAACGCATTTAATTGCGGTCGGATATAGTTCTTAACTGCAAACGTTGGATTTTGGTACTTTACAAGTTCTTTTCCTTAGAACTGTTGGTATCAGCAAGAATCATTTTTACGTACCAAATATCACTGTTATTTACAAATTAGTTATTGTTGGTGTTGCACCTTATTTATTACAGCCGTATTCAATTTAATTGATGTCTTAACTGTATAAGTTTTGCTTTTTCTGTATAGATTCCAAAATGTTAGTTTATGCTAAGAAAATGATAACGCATTTTAGTAAAACATTTGTTCAGCAAACCATCATGAATTGTTTACGCTTTACGTTGTTTATGTTCAGTTTGTGGTCTATTTTGGTAATTTTTATTATAAATTACCAATCTAAATTGTCTATAGTACTTCATTTCATATAGCAAGCCGTCAACTTGACAGCATTTCGGGTCATCTTCGGTCTAAACAAATATAAATTATTATGATAAAATTTGATGACATTAACAAAGATTTCAAATACTTATGTTCTTTGTTATGCTTAAAGCCTAGCAAATTCCCTAATTAAGTTCTGTATTATTGTGTGTATGTCTGTTGGTAACACATTAATGTCCCTATTTCTCAGTTTTTCACGGAAAGGACAAAAGCACCTTTGATAATGAAAATGTCAACCCGAATAAAATGTTAAATGGTGAGGTTTATGAGGTAGTACTTTAAATACTTTTAACCATTATTGTGGAAAGGTAACTTTCAATTATAGCTCATAACTACAGGTTACCGGTACGACATGGCCGGGCTGAGGGGTCGTCACGGATTACTAGAAAGTGGGGGTCGTTGAATCTGCAGTTTACGGGTCCGTAGCTTGGTCATCTTTTAGGTACAATTTATTTTATGGAGGTACAAAATTGTACAAAATAGGTACTAAATAGCAGCATAGCTTATAGCTAAATGTTACGACATGACCGGGCTGAGGGGTCGTAGACCTGTACTGTTTACGGGCCGTAGTTTAGTTATCTTTGAGGTACAAATTGTTTAATGGAGATACAAAATAGTACGAAATAAGTACTAAATGATGGTGTACATATTAGGATCAAATTCTAAAATGGCCGGGCCAGCGTGTCACTGGCCCGGAATCTCCTGTACCGAGTGGAGTACTAATTTTTTGTTTGTTGGTACTAAATAGTACGAAATACAGTAGGTACTAAATACTAGCATAATTTTTATGTACTAATTCCGAAATGGCCGGGCCAGTGGCATGGACGTCAAGTTTCGGTTTCAAATTCAATCAAGTTCAGTCGTTCTCGTTCGTTCAATAATAGCAATAATAGCGTGGTAATAGCTGCTTATATCAGTGCTATCCCCGAACCCGCCCCGAACCCCGCCTCGGCCGCCTCGCCGACCCTGGTTCAGTCGTTACGTTCAGTGCAGTGTTCCAGTGTTCAGACTTAACTCAAGCAAAGTTCAACTGCAGCGCGCGCAACGCAACTGTAGTGCAACAACTCAAAACTCAACGCAACGCAACGCGTAAAAGCATCACTGAGCTATAATTCTAACTGGAGGTAGCACTGAATGTCAACGATGCGTGTCGCCAGCCGCCATGTTTGCGTGAGGTGTGAGTTATAAAGAAGCCATGTTATTGGATGAAAAAACTCACTGCTATGCAAACCTAGTTATAGAAGCCATGTTATTGGATGAAAAAACCTGCTGCTATACCAACCTAACAAAATCAGCGACACGCTTATGACAGACTTCTGCCATGGCAGTGCTACCTCCAGTTATAATTATAGCTCAGTGAAAAGCATAGACTAACCAACGTATGTTTTATCTATGGTAAAAGCCAGTGCGGTCAGCAGCACCGCAGCACTCACTCACTCCACTCAGCATTCAGCTACTCTGTTACTCACTCAGTCAGTCTAGTCACTGTAGTCTGTAGTGTTAGTGTAGTCGGTCGTGTGTGTGTAGTGTTGTTAGACGTTGGACGTTGGTGTAAAGAGTGAGGTTAGGTTAGGAAAGGACAACAGTTCTATGTCTCTCGATAAACTGAAAGATTAAAAGTACATTTATTGTAATTCGTTAAACAGTAACCCTGAGAAATATGGATCGTAGTGATGATAAAGATCCAACGTGTGTTATAAAATTACTTGATGATTTTCGATCATCTTCAGCTAACAAAAGAACATTGTTCGGGGCTAAACAAAGTTTCCCATTTGGATTTCCTCCTCCCAGCATGACAAAACGTACCAAATTAAACTTTGACGATTCTTTATCTCACAGTCAGAATGAAAGTGGGCCTTCTAAGAAACTTAAACTTGGAGACGAATCTGCAGACTCATCTATAGACTCGTCTAAAGTTAGTGAATCTTCTGTTATGGGTAAGTTAAGATGGTCCAACTTATGAGTTTTGAGTTTGGGGGTAAAGTTTCTAAACTGGGCTACCCTAATAGCAATTGAAACTATCAATTTGATCAGCCTAGTAAATTTTATTAACCATTTTTCGATTTTTTTTATTACATTAACTTATCAGCAAGTTTGATTCCTAGGTTATGTTAGCCTTGGCCTACCTGTAACAGCCTTGGCCTGTCTTTTCGTAGGTCTAATTAATTTCCGATATTAAGGGACCCCAATTAAGAAACAGTAAACATAGGCTACCTGAGTTTGGATTTCAATGATATGAGCTTGATAACTTAACCCTTTGAGTGCCAACGTCCGGGGAACCGGACGTTTTTAAAACGAGCCAAAAGTGCCAACGTCCGGCCGACCGGACGTTTTTAGAACGAGCCAAAAGTGCCAACGTCCGGTTGACCGGACGTTTCGTAATGATCGAACAGCTGTCATAACAACCGAATAAATACTCGGATTCTTTTAACCCATATATTAACATTGAGTCGAAAGTTGCTAGATGCGATACATCAATTTTCGTTGGTCGAAATATCGAAAATTCGATTTTTACGAAATTTTAACCTAAAAATCGCCAGATCGCGCTCGGCATTTTTAGCGCGACCTTCGGGAAAAATCATCGGCATTTTTTGAGCGTTACTTTTATTTCTCGCCTGGCACTCTAAGGGTTAACACGTTCACTGCAAGGGGCGGGAAATGTCGTCCTTCACCCAATGCAAACAACCTTGTTGCAATGTGAGCTCAGCAATTGCCGGGGAACGTTGTAATCGTTACCAGCCTGTAGCTTAGAATGTGAGCTTTATTCTGATGTAGGTTGGTACTAAAATTGCCCGTAAAATCCTGTCTGGCAATGCTTTTGTCCCTTTTTTGGATATTTTCTCTATTCGAGCCCTATTACAAAGAATCTGCAGTGCTGATACCTTTGGGTGTTTCAGTGAACTACTTCCACTATCGGGGTACCTAACGCAGAACAATCACCACTGCTCTTTTGTGATTCGTCTTAGGTACCGGTACTGAGATATTTCAATACCAATAGCGATCCCTGATCTAGTTAGCACGTCGGGGCTCCACCCGGGCCTCGCCACCATCTAGCGGCTGTTTAAATGTTTTCAGCAGCGAACGTGTTAATATGTAGTTAAACACAAGCTGTCCTTTTGTAACTAACTTAAGTTAACTTAGGGCCATCAGCCTACGTCATTAAAACAAAGATACTCAAGTTAGCCTAAATAAGTTACCTTAGGCCTACTAAGTTACACTGATGAGTAAAAATCTTTTTCAAAACTCATTTGGAGACCTATAAGTTAGTCAACAAATGGGAACTAGCCTATAATAATCTAAACCAGCCTGTGCAGAAACAAAGTGAGCACTGCGTTCTCTTCTGTTTGTGAATCGAGAAACATAAGATTTCCTTCGTCCAAGCTCAATTTCAAACAGTCACATCACATAGGGTTGCCACCCGTCCCGATATCGGTCCCTCGTGCCTATTATGCTCATGATAATCCGGGACGGGAGGAGGGCCCGATTTTTTCCTTTAAATGTGGTAACCCTGCATCAGATGACACAATTGTACTACAACAAAAATTTGTCCCCCTGCTTTGTGGCCTAATAATGTAATAGTTACTTTAATTACTTAGAATTAACGTAAGATAGGAAATTTTCTGGTGAGGAAATATCGTAGGCTAACAAATAGGTTAGGCCTAGAGAGTCGAATTTTACATAGGTAAGTAAACAAAACTTTAAACGGCCGCAGTTCCGTTAATATTTATGAGCGCAGAAAAATGTTGCACCATTATTTTCAACTAAAAATCTAATTTCTGGTGGTATATAAATCTATAAAGTTTCCCATGGTCACGTTTATCGCAATAAATACCAAAAAGTCTTACAAAATACAAATAGGGGAATTGGCCTAGCACTCAAAGGGTAATATAATGAAATTTAAATTAGGCTGAGTAATAACAATCAATTTAACCAATGGAGTTTTATAACTTAGCCTAACTTATATCAAAGTTCTGCCCAATTTCCCTTTCTAGTCTAATAGCTTTTAATATAACTAGGTAGCGTTTGCAGAGGCATCCACAAAATTGAGCGGAGTCATCAAGAGTTTAGGTATATTATATTGTTTTGGTCATACTACAGTAATACCATAGATAAAACATACTCCCTTAGTAGATTTCTCATCCTTATGGAACAGCTGAAGACAATTTTATTGTTAGTTCTGTACGGTTTTCTGTAGAGGTCGTGTTTTGTTTACAATTTGTTTCCCGTTATTACAGCCATTTAAAACCTCGTTTAACCAAATAATACGATCTAATCATAAACAATAACCTGTCCCCTAGTTATATAAGCAAACAGTAAAGCACAAATCAAGAAATTAACCCTAAAATAATAGAAACAAAGTTTCGTCGACACTAGCGCCCATGTGTCACGTACATGAACTAGACACGAAAAACGTGCTTCAAAATTTACAATGGGATGAGAAGTCTACTTGTGTTGGTTAGTCTATGGTAATACCAGTTGTTTTTAAAGCATGCGTTGCGGGTCTAAAGTAGCATTTTTACTCTTTAGGAAGTAAAAATAGTTTGTATCCTCTATGGAGTAAAAATCAGCTGTTGTCAACTCAGTTGTAAATTTCTATATTGTAAACGATTGCATGTATCGAAATATGTATCGATTCGTGCTTCGTAGTTATTTTAACCTACAGTCTACAGTCTCTTCCCATAGCCTTTTAGCATTGCAGATACATTAATCCATTCCCACACTCAACACGCTCACCTTTACTACTTCCTTCACCACCCCCAACGTCGTGGACCTGTTTCCCTCTCTTCCCATAGCATTTTAGGATTGCAGATAGCCTACATTAAAATGTAATTGCCAAAGATAGTTCCAACACTCTGCACTGCAAGCCTTACTACTTCCTTCACCATTTCCTACGTCAGAGACTTGTTTCCTTCCCTTCTCATAGCATTTTTGGATTAAAGATACATCAATCTAACTACCACAGACGGTTTTCACACTATGCTCATACTTTACTACTTTCTAAGCCATTTCCTACATCGTGGACCTGTTTTCACCACTTTCCATAGCAATTTAATATTTTAGATACGTTAATCTAATTGCCACAAACATTCCCCACACTCCGCACTGCTAGTCTTTACTACTTCTTTCACCATTTTCTATGTCGTGGGGATGCTTCCATCCCTTCTCATAGCATTTCAGCATTGCAGATACGTTAATCTAACTGCTACAAACGGTTTCCAGTTCCCACACTCCACACTGCTCACCTTACTACTTCCTTCACCTCTTCTTACGTAGCGGACCTGTTTCCCTCTCTTCCCATAGAATTTTAAGATTGTAGATACCTTAATCTAATCGTCATAAACAGTTCCCACACTCCAGAAAGCTTGCCTTGACTACTTCCTTCATCACTTCCTACATCGTGGACCTTTTTTCCTCCCTTCCCATGGCATTTTATGATTGCAGATACCTCAATCTAATCGTCATAACCAGTTCCCACACTCCGGACAGCTCGCCTTTACTACTTCCTTAATCACTTTCTACGTCGTGGACCCGTTTTCCTCCCTTCCCTTATAATTTTTAGAATGCAGATACCTAAATCTAATCGTCATAAACGGTTCCCACACTCAGGACTGCTCGCATTTACTACTTCCTTCACCACTTCCTACGTCACGGACCTTTTTACCTCCCTTCCCATTGCATTTTATGATTGCAGATACCTTAATCTAATCGTCATAAACAGTTCCCACACTCCGGACTGCTCGTATTTACTACTTCCTTTACCACTTCTTACGTAGCGGACCTGTTTCCCTCCCTTCCCATAGCATCATAGGATTGCAAATGCCTTAATCTAATGATCATAAACAGTTCCAACACTCCCGACCGCTCACCTTTACTACTTCCTTTGCCACTTTTAACGCCACGGACCTGTTTCCCTCACTTTCCATAACATTTTATGATTGCAAATGCCTTAATCTAATGGTCATAAACAGTTCCCACACTCCAGACTGCTCACCTTTCGTACTTCCTTCACCACTTCCTACGTCGTGGACCCGTTTTCCTCCCTTCCCATAGAATTTTAGGAATGCAGATACCTAAATCTAATCGTCATAACCAGTTCCCACACTCCGGACTGCTCGCATTTACCACTTCCTTCACCACTTCTGATGTCGCGGACCTGTTTCCCGCCCTACCCATAGCACCATAGGATTGTAAATACCTTAATCTAATGGTCATAAACAGTTCCCACACTCCAGACAGCTTGTCTTGACTACTTCCTTCACCACTTCCTACATCGTGGACCTGTTTTTCTCCCTTCCCATGGCATTTTATGATTGCAGATACCTCAATCTAATCGTCATAACCAGTTTCCACACTCCGGACAGCTCGCCTTTACTACTTCCTTAATCACTTTCTACGTCGCGGACCCGTTTTCCTCCCTTCCCTTATAATTTTTAGAATGCAGATACCTAAATCTAATCGTCATAAACCGTTCCCACACTCAGGACTGCTCGCCTTTACTACTTCCTTCACCACTTCCTACGTAGCAGACCTGTTTCCCTCCCTTCCCATAGCATCATAGGATTGCAATGCCTTAATCTAATGGTCATAAACAGTTCCCACACTCTGGACTGCTCGCATTTACTACTTCCTCCACCACTTCCTACGTCACGGACCTGTTTACCTCCCTTCCCTTATAATTTTTAGAATGCAGATACCTAAATCTAATCGTCATAAACGGTTCCCACACTCGGGACTGCTCGTATTTACTACTTCCTTTACCACTTCCTACGTAGAGGACCTGTTTCCCTCCCTTCCCATAGCATCATAGGATTGCAAATGCCTCAATCTAATGGTCATAAACAGTTCCAACACTCCCGACCGCTCACCTTTACTACTTCCTTCGCCACTTTTAACGCCACGGACCTGTTTCCTTCACTTTCCATAACATTTTATGATTGTAAATGCCTTAATATAATGGTCATAAACAGTTCCCACACTCCAGACTGCTCACCTTTCGTACTTCCTTCACCACTTCCTACGTCGCGGACCCGTTTTTCTCCCTTCCCATAGAATTTTAGGAATGCAGATACCTAAATCTAATCGTCATAAACAGTTTCCACACTCCAGACTGCTCACCTTTAGTACTTCCTTTAGCACTTCCTACGTCACGGACCTCAAGCTAGTGTCGTCATTTGATTATATTTATGATTCATACCGTTTCTGTTCTAATATCTGTGGAATAATGCTATCAGCTATTTCTTCATCTGCTGCATTCAAAAGTCAACAGCTGATCATATGTCTTTGTTTATTGTTTATGTGTCAAATACTTCCATAAGGATTACATTGAAACTTTGAGACCCAGTGGGGCGGATTCCTGAGAGTTATTTTTAACGCCATATAGAGATGTTGGCACTCACCGATATGGTATTTTTCACCATCCAAAATTTGAAAACGATTGATTCAGCCGTCTAGGAGGAGTTTGCGTATTACGAAATGCATAAAAGTAGACGTATAAGAGCTTCGCTCAAAAATGCTATTGAAGTCGAGAGGTCACACATTTCACTCTGTTGCTCCTGTAGGGCTCAAAGCTAAAATGATAGGCTATCCATACACATTTCATAAACTGCTTAGCTTTTACAGACACTTTGCAGTAAGTTAAGTTACTTAAATTTTTTCTGGTTGAACATGGCATTTACAACATGTTCCTATACATTTTAGGCCTACTGTTATACTTTAGGCCTAACTGATGTGATAAAGTTCAAATGTTTGTAGCCTCACCATGGGAAGCTCGGCGCTTGAAAGCTGAGTTAGCTGAAGCTAGAGCTCAGATTGCCTCCTTGGAGGCAAGATTCAACAAAGTGTATGCACTTCGACGAGAGACGGAACTTGTGTTTGAACAGGAAAAAAATGAACTGCAGAGACAAATAGAGTGGGATCGAAACAAAGTAAGTTAGAGGGCACTAACTGATTTCTCTTAAACGTAATAGTTATAAACATAATGATCTTTATTCAATCTAATTGTGATTGATTGTGATATAACATTTTTATGAGTACAGTACCTACTTGTTACTTATATTTATACTTGGCTTAACCAGTATTTAGATTTGCTGATACAAGAAAGGTAGCCTACCTTTAAAGTGTGTATTTTTATGGAAATTTTAAAGCTTTGTATAAAATAATTAAATAAATGAATTTGCCAAGCTTGAATCAAAATAACTTATGAGCAAGCTGCAGCATTTTAGTTATTCTCCATAAAAATATTATAGAAAAAAATGTTCTCCGTAACCATTAGGCCTAAAAGATTCAAAAGATTCAAAGATTCAAAAGCTTTATTCACCATTCAATACAAAATGTACGATAGGCTTTGTCTCATACATTAAATAACTTAACTGCTAAAATAAATAAATAAAATCATTCCAAATAATAAATTACAAAATGCAAACTCACACAGCAAACCATGCACACACAAAAAAAAAAACAAATCAGCAAGCCAAGCAAAACAAAATAGCAAACTTACATACCAGTTACAGGCAAAACCTTCCAGGTGAAATGGGCCTAGCCCTTATAGCCTCAAAGAAATCTTCAATTTTGTACAGAGGATTTAAAACCAACCATTTTCTTATGACCATACTAAGCGTGTCACATCAATGCTTTAAATATAGCCTACACTTAATTATTCGTTTGTAAGCCCTACATTGGTTTAGAAAGAAATTGCAAAATTGTTGTATTTTGAGGGTCAAAATGGGAATAACCATTTTTGATCCCATGAATGCAATTCCCTTAGTCTGATCATGCTGGTTCAAAAACTCATTTGAATAAACAAAGGTTTACACTAGGGAATAGTCTAAATATTGAGAGACAAAGTCTATGAAAACTCTAATACTAAATATTTAAGATAATTTATATTAGCCCTTAATTACTATCCAATGTCTGTCAGACGTCGCAAAATCTTTGATCTGTGAGTTCCCCTCCTCCCCTTCCTGCCAAGACTGGTTCCAGCCCAGTACCTATCAGTCGGCCACTGACCTTGGCCATGAACAGATCTTGTGCGGGTGCATGTACTGTTCCGCCCTTCATAGCTGACAAACGTCGTTATTTCTACAGTTACAATGGGGTGTCTGTTGGACGTTCGTAGCTTTTTATCATAATAGTGTCTCTTAGACGTTTGGTAATGTTAAAGTATTTATTTGTTTTACATAAAAAATGGCCGGTAAACAGTGTGTACCTTCTTCAGAAGAAACTTCAACTTCACGGCAGAATTACAAACAAACTGGAGTTCATCAAGTGTTGTGATTGCCCCTAAATATTCCGAACAATATTTTGTACAATAGATACATTCTGCATATACCTCCATTGGTTCAAATGTCATATATGCCTACCAACAATCACTAAAAGGCTCAAAGATTACAATTCAATGCACTAAAAACAGAACAATAAGGAAATATCAAACAAAAGTGAATGACGTCTGTCAGACTAAAGTGAGTGTGTAAGTTTTTACATTTACTACGTGTGTTATGTGTTATTTGTGTGTTTTTAAAGTAGAAATTGAGGGTAAATAAAACACTTACCTGTATTTTAAAAACCAACTAAGCCTACAAGCAATTTAATCCAAACCAATGAAAAAAAATATTCGTACTGTACAAGATTTGGTCATTTGCAAAAACATTTCTAACCTAAAACTTACAACAACAAAAATATGTCAAAAAAGTGTAATGTTTTTTTTACAAAACTAGTTTTCATAGCGAATGAGTTTGAGGGTTTTTAGGTATTTTAAAATGATCATTAAAGGACTAAAGAAACGGTCGAGATAACACCTAGACTTGTGGAACAATAATTATAGGTCGAAACAAAAGTTGAAAAAATAGACGTCAGATACAAATAGTGTAACTTTTTACCACAATAGTAACTAAGGGGTTTTTTAACCATTTTTTGTTATTGTATAGGGACCCTAATTAATGTTTTTTTATAGATTCAAGAACTAGAACAACGTCTAAAAACTGTGCGGAAGAGAGAAGCCGAAGCTCGTGATGAGTTGGATAAATTTCGAAACTCTCAGAAACAAGATAAATATAACTTAGATGATCGCTGTGAGAAATTGCAACTAGACAACGCACAACTGAAGGATAAGCTGACCGAGGTTGGTAATATAAAAAAATTTAATTTTCCTATATTGTTAAGTGTTTGATAGACTAATTATTTCTATGCTTTATAGTAACTAGGCCTATAGGAAAAAATATAATATCTAAAACGAGCGCAAAGTGAAAGTGCCTTTGCTGCACTCGAGAAACTGGCCTGCGGCTCTTGCATAAACATTTCTCTCGTGTGCAGTTAAGTGCCACTTCGCAAACTTGTTACACAAATAACTATTCTCAAAAATGTTTTCCTATCATCATGTTTCATTATCGAGTTTTACTTCCTAACTCTTAGAGCGATGTTGAACAATGTTTGTTTATCCATAACTTCACTGATTTAAAAGCTGGAAGCGACAAGCAGAGAGAAGTGTGAGGCTGTGGAACGACAGTTAGCCAGTGTGGAGGTCGAAGCCGCCAATGTTAAGGCAGAACTCGTGGATGCTAAGAAGCTGGTCGAGGAATTGACCTGTGACTTGCGTGAGCGGCGACGAGAACTGCGGCAGTTGGAGACAAATAAAACTAAACTTCTTGTGGCTCAGCAGCGAATCAAGGTATTAGAGATATGTAGGCCTACAATACCAGAATATTTATAATTACAGCTAACTTAAATACCCTGGTTATTTAAAAATGAGTACTTGCTCTGGTAAATATTATCTAATGAAATCTTTATATAAAATAGGCAAGTAGGATTTTTGTCAGCAGAACTCATCCATGGTTTCTCAACCGATTTTGTTAGTTTATGGCTTATTGGTAAGATCTCAATGAGTAGATGTTATATAATAAGGTCTTACATGTTGAAAAAGTCCCCTGGGATAATTTAAATGCCAGAAACATTTTAAGTTGCAATAATCAAAGAAACACGTAATACACACATTTACTGACTTAGTTTGGATTAAATATTTACTAATTTGAATCTGGGTGTACGTACATATTATAATGGAAAAAGATTAGAAGGCCTGGGCAATTTGATATATTTCCATCAGCATAGCGTGAGTATTTCCCTTAGTTACATGAGCTTTTAGTTGAGTCTTTTAAACTCATCAAAATTTATGACTATTGTTAGTTTTAAAAGAACTCCTGTAATACCGGTACTTGACAATTGCTCGATTTCGAGCAACAGGTACGCTAGTATATACATATTATTATACATTTAACCTTCATTTTTCATAAATATCAAGGTATATAATTACAATAATTCAGCCAAATGCTACACACAAGTTTTAATTTAGTATTTTCCCATTAAATAACATTGGAAGATGTGTCTTAGGGCACAAACGCTCAGAAAACATTGTGGTGGGGTGGGGTGCAACACGGCATACGTCAACAAGCGTCAATCCATATCCTTCCCTCTCATTCCCATAAAAGTATCACAAATTGTAAATAAATTGGTTTTGTATGAAAAGAAAACCAAGAAATATGTAAATTTATTAACATAACTTTTTACGACTGTTACAGACTCAAAATAAAAATTTAGACAGTTGGAGAAACGTAATGTGACACAATCGTTTGACGAATGTCGGTACATTTTGCTATAAATTTTCATTGACAGAATAGTAATAACCAACGATCACAAAATACCCATAGATGGAGCACGCCTATCCATTCTAACTATCATCCTAGCAGCTGAAGCATGGTCGACTATCTTAGGCAGTGATAGAAGCACTAGATCAGAAGATGTTGATGAAAACGGTGCAACAATGTTTTCTCATTTTGACTAGACAAATCCAATAACTTTTTAGATCAATGCTAGTGTTTATACTTTTTATAAATACCCACCCCTCTGGGTATTTACCTGGCCCACACCACCACTACACATTATCTCAGCTTTGTCATAAAAATTTGTGTTGTTTTGCTACTTTTAAGTTCAGTAAACTATACCTTTGTTAGCGACATTAAACCTCAAGTTTAGTCTACCCTATACTACTCTGTAGCTCCTTTGTTAATAGAAGAAAATATTGGAAGGGTGAAAGCAATGAAGTAGGTGATAAATAATACAGTTGATAAATTCTGAGAAATTTGCTAAAGTTATGACATGTTGTTTAAATGATAAAAAAGCTAAAACATAAAAAATAAATTATAGGCTACAGGGTAAGTAATTTAAGTTAAAGGTAAATGTTTTGGAATCAACTATTCTCTGATTAAGCCTGGTGATCTGATGATGACCTGTGTGAGCAATTAAAAACCACTTGTCAGTGTAGCAGTGTAACCTAATCAGAGACTGATAAATTTCAGAACATTTTACCCATAACTTTATCATATATACAGGGTTAGTAAAAAGTGTGGAGACCCCCTGTTATTTTTTTAATGGCCCATACTAGAAAAACTAAACTCGGCACACCTTTATGACATGTTATGAAGTACTTTTTGGGCATAACCATCACTTGGTGTACATCCCCGAAATGGGGGATTTTTGGGGAAACTCAAAAATTTCAAATACAAAGACCCATCAAGTGACCCCTCATTTTGAAGGTCCTAGTAAAAGAAAACCAACAATGCAAACTATAGGTCTTTATCTCAATCCAATAAAAAATGGAAGCTGATTGAAATCTTTAGAACTCGGGAATAACTTGCAATTTTATATTTAATTGGCTCTCATATTTTACTGTGCTAAGATAGAGACCTATAGTTTGCGTTCTTAGTTTTCTTTTATTATGACCTTTAAAATGAGGGGTCACTCGATGGGGCTTATCATTAAAAATTTTTGAGTTCCCCCAAAATTCCCCATTTTGGGTTTGGGAACTTATGAGAATTTCAATTGGCTGCCATTTTATACTGAACTCAGATAGAGACCTCTAATTTGCGTTGTTGGTTTTCTTTTACCAGGACCTTTAAAATGAGGGGTCACTCGATGGGTCTTTGTATTTGAAATTTTTGAGTTTCCCCCAAAATCCCCCATTTTGGGGATAAACACCAAGTGGCGGTTATGCCCAAAAAGTACTTCATAACATGCCATAATGGTGTGCCGAGTTTAGTTTTTCTAGTATGGGCCGTTAAAAAAATAACTGGGGGTCTCCACACTTTTTACTAACCCTGTATAATATACATATGTTATATTATATACACCCGTATTAAATATGTACAAAAATAAGTTTTGATCATCTTGTAAATAAACAGAGTTTAAGTGTAGCCTGTATATCGAGAAGTGATGAGGGGTGTTTAACAGCAGTTATCCTTATGCAATGTATCTTAATCGTAAATAACAGAATATGACAAAATATCAAGGAAAAATATCTAGATTTGAAAATATTACACTTTCAATTGATTGTAGGATTCAATGGTGCAAGGTGTCTAGTGTTAAATAATTGTAGGTCAACATTTACAACACACAGTAACAGTAATTATATTTTTGTGGTTTTGCATTGTCATACTTAGCAAGATGGAACCTGTGTTGATGAAACCATTTTGACATTATTTATTAGTATGAATGTCTCTACTGGGTTTTATCATGGTTTTATTTAACAGCGTGAAACAAACTTGTTTGTAAAAATGTTTTGTAACAATGTGCTATGAAATTCAGTGCAAGTTATTGATGTAGATTTTCTGTAAGGAGCGATAAAGTGAAGTATTTTGATTGTTCCACAGGAGCTAGAGTATGAACGAGAGATTCACATGGAGGCCTACAACCTGGCACAGAATCAACAGACCAAGCTGTTACGGGTCACTGAACTGGAGAAAGAACTGGCATCACTCAAAGAGGAAAATAAGAACTTACGGTTGGTTTAACTTGAACTTGATTGAGTTTGTGATCCAGCAAAAGCAATTCATAGAAGCAATTCTGACTTGTTTATTGCAGTATTTCGTGAAAATTCAACCAGAGACAAAATGAAAATTGCTTCATAATCTTATTGCGCTTTTTTAAGTAGCCTACCAGTCTTAATTTTCCAAACGGATTTTAACTAGGCCTTTTTCAAAAGCATGCAGCTATTCTTGTTATTGATTAGTGATGTATGATATTAACCTGAGGAATCAAGTAGATTTTCATCTAAATTGTAACGGATTAGTAGAACTTTTCCTTTATCCTATGAATGTTTATCCCATTTATGAGAAAATTTCTGATTTGACCACAAACTCTTCATTTCCTTGCAGGCAGGCCACATCCAACACAGTGTACCTGGAAGGCTTGGTTGAGGATTTGCGTTCTCGTGTCGCGCAGACGGAGGAGCGAGAGCGTGAGTGTGTCAGTCTACGTGTGGAGCTGGGCGTGGTGACCACTCGGTTGGCAGAGTGGTCGGAGTTACATCGTGTGGTCATCGGACACTCGCCAGGCCCAGGCCAGGGTCCTCTGGCTTTGCGACGCTACATAGAGACCTTGCAGCAACGAGAGCTCGCCCTTTCCCAAGAGAAAGCTACTGCAGAAAGAGAGTGAGTTAAGATACTTTGTTGTAATATTTTACTAAGAAAAGGTGTTTAGTATCTGCTAGAACGTATCCAAATTGCAGGGTTCCCAGTGAAACCGGGAAATCAAGATATCTTCCTCGGTCATGTTAAAATCGAAAACATTTTTTGAAGTTATGGCAAAATCATGAACGTCTTCTGCGGTCAAAGCGACATCATTGTCCCCTAAAACGGTGGAAAATGCATACATTTTCAATCACACATCTTCCCAAAGGCTTTGTGCATAAATATCGGGGCCCAGCAGACTCAAATGTACACTTGGTGACCAGTACACTTCGTTAAAAACTTAAAATGAAATTTTATTATTTTTAACATTAGTCTTATGGACTGTCAATTGGACATGATAGTTTTAGTAAAATGTAAATAAATTAATTGTAGCATATGCTTGTAACAAATCAACTACACTACAGAAGCAAATTACTAAATCCAGCACAAAAGAAAAGGAAATTCCTACGAATACTATTGAGCATTGATTATACAGTACACTACTACTACTAAAATTCTATGGGAAGGGAGAGAAATAGGTCCACGGCGTAGAAAGTGGTGAAGGAAAGTAGTGAAGGCGAGCAATGCGGAGTGTGGAAAACGTTTGTGGCCGTTAGATAAATGTATCTGCAATACTTAAATGCTTTGGGATGGGAAAGAAACAGGTCCATGACGTAGGAAGTGGTGACGGAAGTAGTAAAGGTGAGCAATGGGAAGTGTGGGAAATATTTATGGCAGTTAGATTAATGTATCTGTTAGATTAATGTATCTAAAATGCAGGGCTGTGCGAATAGTTCGAAAAACGAATCGAATCCGAATCTTTTTAGAGATTCGATTCGGATTCGAGAACGAATCTACTGTTTCTAACTGGATTCGGATTCGGAATCGATATTCAAATTTACTGGTAAGAGATCCGGGTTCGGATTCGATATTCGAATTTCTTGGAAATAGATCCGAGTTGGGATTCGATATTCAAATTTACTAGATTCTGATTGAGTATAATTTTCAATATAATTTTTTAGACACTAAAAAACTACTTGTGCACTCCGATTTGCTGTTGACTGGTTCATGTTAGGAACCTGACCAACTTGGTGTTAGGCTTTAGGCACATTAGTGTAGGTCGCATTTGAACCCTATCTTGGCTATCAGTAAACTTAACCTCACAGTGTTAGTTATTACTTGTAATAGTAATGCAGACATAGGCTTGTGTGGAGGATTAACACCGAGGTGTATAATAGGCTCGGCCTATGTTTTAGACTACACAAATTGGTAGTCCATCACTTTTAGCGAGTAACTTAGGCCTAGGTGGTATGCCTAACTTATGCCCAATTTTTTTGTTTCAAAACTTCAAATAGGTAGGCCTAAATTTTATAACTTTTTTATTTGGCCCATTTCAAGAATTTTTTTAAGCAATTCCCTAAGTTATTTCAGCCCCAGAAAATGTGGTCTAAAAATGTGAAAATTGGTACTGCTGACTTTCCTCGGATTTGGATTCGACTCTGAACACGTTTAAATATTCGGATTCGATAACAGCTTTAAATTTCAGATTCGGATTCGATCCAGGTTCGATAATGGCTGTAAATTTGAGATTCGGATTCGACCCAGATTCGACTCGGGATTAATTAATATTCGGATTCGATCCGGATTCGATAAAATCTGTACAGCTATGATTCGGATTCGGATTCGAACCAAAATTTCTGGATTCGCACAGCCCTGCTAAAATGTTCCCATTCTTGAGAATGATAATACGTTTTATTAAAAATTATGTTGAAAATCATACATATGCATGTTTGATATTTTTTACATTCCAAACAATTGATACGGTAACGAGCAACCCTTGGTCCACTGGTTCTAAATATTTAAACATGTTCAAACTGAAATTAAGAAATGATCATGCACTTAGATAGTTCATAACAAGATAATTAACAATACAAATATTAATAATATTATAACAGAAACGGTATTGATCATAAACAAATGTCGCCACTATCCTGTAAGCAAACATGTTTGTACTGTACTGTCTCTACTGTATTGTTATTTAAATTTAACTGTAAAAAAACTTCCAAACCATATTATGTTTATGTTATCAGTGGCTCGAGCTAGTGGCGTTTTATCTTTATGATGCATACCATTCCTGTTCTAATATATTTGACAACAGTTACAATTATTCCTTTAAGTCGACAGCTGATCTTATGCCTTTGTTTTTGTGTCAAATACTGCTTCTATAAGGATTACATTGAAACTTAAAGGGCCCGTGAGGCGGATTCCTTGAAGAATTTTTTTAACACCATATAGAGATGTTAGCACTCAGTGTGATATGGTCTATATCTCCAAAACGATTGCTGCAGCCGTCAAGGAGGAGTTTGCGTATTACAAAATGCATAAAAGTCTACGTATAAGAGCTTTGCTCGCTCCGCTCAATTTCTGGAAAGAGGAGTGGTTAGTTTATGAATATTGCAGGTTATTTTGGTAGTTTAGTATTTATTATTTCTCAGATACTATTGCAGATTGTGATTAAATTATAAGCATTCATCTTCTTCATGGATCTCAGGATGCTTATTAAGAAATCTGTTTATGAAAGCTGTTAAAAAGATTGTTGATTTTTTATTTTCAGATCAAAAAGCATTAAGGAAGCACACAATGAAAAACTAAAAGAACTGCAAGAAGCTAACACTCAACTTTCGACATTAAAGAAGAACTTGGAATTGCAATCAACAAAAGTTAGGAGGCTGCGGAAACAAATAACTCTGATAACTTGGGTGAGTTCCTGTCTCTTGTGCTTTATCCTTTATTCAGGAATTAAAAAATTAGAATGACTTATATAATCTAATCAGGCAGTCTTACTCTTAATGTTATATGCAGTACTACTCTTTAAAGAAATGTTTGCTACATTTAGTAATGTTCAAAGAAAGGCTCTAGGCCAGGATTTTGAATTGTAGAATGATGGGATAGTCAGCTAGTTTATCCCAAAAGAATTACAGGTAGGCCATAGAACACACAATACTTCCCCCGGGAGGACATTGTCAAGTCTAGAGAAAGGGAGGATCCTAAGTAAGCTGGTTGCTATCTCTTTAGTCTACAATTCATAATCTGGTTTCTTACACTGTGTTTAAAAGTTTTACATCCAAGTATAACTGGCTACAAACATACAAGAATTAATAATTTAAGATTCTAATTCAAATTCAAATTCTTTATTCACTCATAACATCTTACAAAGTACAACGTACAAGGATTGGAGTGTCGTCATAATAAAAATTTAAAAAAATACTATCTATACTATTATAAAAAAGAGGTGGTTGCTGTATGTATGGGAAAAGTAAACGCGAAAAATACTGGTCGGATTGGGCTGAAATTTGGCATGATGATAGCTCACATTCCCGATTAACATATAGGCATATTCTTATTTCAAAAATCCTTTCGGGCTCCGCCCCAGTGGCTCTGGAGTTTCCCATCCCATGTTAACCTTATGAGAAATGAAATTATTGAATCTTAACAGCTGTTTCAATTAAACAAGTTGGTTCTGTTTTGTGATGTTCAATAGCATTAAAGTTACAAGGATTACCAACAGGGTGCAGCACTAGCACTATTATTTCTTTTACATTTATGACAACAGCTAATTTGCAACCAAAAGGTGAGTGAGCGTAGCGAACGAACTTCAACCTGGAGGCGAGTGAGCGTAGCGAACGAGCTAACCTGAAGGAAAGTGAGCGCAGCGAACGAGCTCCAACCTAAAGGTGAGTGAGCGTAGCGAACGAACTTCAACCAGGACGTGATTGAGCCATGCAAACGAGGTCATCTTGAAAATTAAGAAGTTAAACGGGGCAAAGCCCGCGGGTTACAGCTAGTAACTAATAAATTCACACAACTCAAAATTATTACTACTGACATCAAGTAAAAGTTACCATTATAAAATACCCCCGTCGCAGCAAACCTGCATACTAAGCAAATTTCCATTTACCCGGCTTGATTTCTACTAAAATATTCCCTATAAATTTTCAGATTTATTTCCTATAACATTAATTTTAGTGAGTAGTTAGGTTTGCTGCTACGGGGAAGATGTTGAGGTGTGTTTTTTCAATTGAAATATTGATAGCTTAGTATGAAATAAACCAAATTGCCAAATTTGATTAAAATATATCCATAAACAAGCAAACTAGAACAGTTTATTTATTCTCCATAAGAATAACATGGGAATTTTAAATTTACAATTTTTTTAGTTTTCTCCGTAGTCAATGAACATTCAAAAACACTTCAATATACTAAATTATTTGTTTTTTTAAGCTCTTCAAAATGGTTTAGAGAGAAATTTAGAAATTTAAAGTTTTTAGGGTCAAACATGAGAAAAACCCCATTTTTACCCCATAAAACCCCCCATAAACCCCTGATCCCTTGGTCCGATTATGCTGGTTCGCGAACTCGTTAGAATAAATGTAGGTTTACACGTTTGTACCAAATTTCATCAAAATCGGATCAATTTTGCTCGAGTTATCGCGCTAACGGACACATATATAAATATATATATATATATGAATTTGAACGAATGGTGTTTTTGGCCTTTGGGGACCTCAAAACGAAAAAGTAAATCGGTCCCGGGTCTAGGTCTTACCATGAGACCTACGGTAATAGCTTATTCCCTAAATGGGAAATTCGCTAAAACAACAAATAAGATAAAATCCTGCTAAAATTAATGAAAGCTATCAGGTATGTATTCAACGTGAATTTAGTTTACAAAATTAAATTAATTCTTGTCCGTTTAGAAAACATCAGAATATAAATCTTCTATTTTATAATATGCCTTTTCAATTAATAACTCGTGTAATTTTTCTAGGAGTATGTTTTTTGGATTGTTGGTGATTCTTTTTGGTTGTTTATTAAAAAAATTTATAGCCATGTATTTTGGTGTACGTTATAAAAGAGTTAGTCTATGTATTGGGAATTGATATAAATGTTTCTGACGTGTGGAATAATTATGTGTAAATTTAAACTCTTTGAAATTATCTATATTGTTCATTAATAGCTTAATCATTTCAAAAATGTACATACTTGTGATGGTTAAAATCCCTAATCTTTTAAAATGAGGTAGAGAGATGTTTAAAGATCTACATTAGATTTAGAATTGAGATTTATTTAGAACAGTAGGTGTGTTTTTACCAGATTTGTAGTGAAGACATAAGATATTTAAGAAACATAGGGGATGTGAGGTCTTAAAAAGTATCTTAATTTGGCTCCCTTGAAGCTTCTATTTGGTTTGAATCAAATGGCTTCCTCTTAAACAAAGATAAAACTCAAAAAATGTTTTTAGCCTTAGACCCTGTGAATCAAATATGTTGGATGGTTATGTAGACAATGTTAAATTTCTTGGTATTTATCTGGATAAGACCCTTTCTTGGGGAGATCATATAGATTACATAAGTTCTAAGCTTTCAAGGGTAATTTGTCTTATAACTAAACTAATACATTGTATAGATCAAAATTATATTAAAACAGCCTACTTTGCTTATTTCCAATCCATTTTCAGATACAATATTATCTTTTACGGAAATTGCAGTAGGATAGAGGAAATTTTAGTCTTACAAAAGAAGTTAGTTAGAATCATATCTTGTGAACCCCAACAGGAACACTGTAAACCCCTGTTCATTCAGCTACAAATTCCAACAGTAATTAAAATTATTTATTTGACTCTGTATCATATATTCTACAAAATCCCAACCTTATCAAACAAAATTCTCATGTTCATAATACAAGGAATAAAAACGTTGCTACCATAGATTTTTTTAGACTGTCTAAAACTCATATTGTAATCTCACTAAAAATATACAACAAGCTAATACATTTAATAATAAAATATCCTAATAAAACTTTTAAATCTAAATTCTACAAATGGCTTTTGAACAACCCTTTTTATTCTCTAAAAGATTTTTTTGAAATGCCTTTTATTAATTTTTAAGTAGAGCTAGCAAATTCATCAAATTACTGTTGGATTTAGTTGGTTATGGGGTTTAATAACTTTCATTATTCTAAATGCCTTGCATTTTTCTGAACAATAAGATTATTTGGTTGTAACATTAAAGTATGTATTGTAACATGTCTCCTTGTGTGTAGTATTCTTGTAAATATTGTATATTGTATTCATTAACTGACTATGCTAGTTTTAGCAGTTTTTCGGACATTGTCAATAATTTGTATAAATTCACAAGACAATAAACACATTTCATTTCATTTCATTTCATTTCATTTCATTTCATTTTCATTAAAATATCATTTAAGCTATTTTTTTGCCAATAGTTTTCCTAGTTATCTTCTTGCAGTAAAAACATTTGTCAACTTCATAGGTATTGTTGTTGGATTAAAAATTTTGTTTATACTGGGAGAATCAGTGGTGTAAATTTCAGGAGGGGAGTAAAATTAATTGTATCCATAAAAATACCCCTGCCACAGCAAACCTGCCGACTAAGCGAATTTCCATTTGTCTGAATTAATTTTCAATTAAAATAACATAAGGTTTAACGAGTACCTAGGTTTGCTGCCACAAAAAACTAATTAAGTGTATTTTTAGTGAAATATTAATAGCTTAGTATAAAATAAATAAATTTGCTATGTTTGATCAAGATATATCCATAAACAAGCAAACTACAACAGTTTACAATATTCTCCATAAGAATAACATGAGAATTTAAAATTTAAATTTTTTTTAATTTTCTCCGTTACCAATAACCATAAAAAACAGTTTGTTATACAAAATTATTTGTTTTTTAAGCTCTTTAAAAAGGTCTAGAGAGGAATTGGGAAATTTTGTGTTTTGAGGGTCAAAAATGAGACAAACTTTTTTTACCCCATAAAACCCACCGTAAAACCCTGTTCCCATGGTCCAATCATGCTGGTTCTAATTCTAGTTTTTCCTGCCTTACACCTTTAAACCGAATTTAATCAAAATCGGACAAAAATTACTCACGTTATCACGTTCAAAGTCAAAGTCATCTTTATTGTCACAAAACGTTTTTTTTTTATGCTCTGGCACAGCCAGACAAAACAGGTGACATTGTCAAACTATACTAAAATAAACTAGCTTATATTGGTAAAAATAAATACATAGTAGGTAACAAAACAAACAATTCACATTGATTTATCTTCAAGAAATTGACCAATACTATAATAATTCTTTTCCAATAAAAATTCAAAAATTTTTTCTTTAAAAGATACTAATCCTATTATAGATTTGTAGTACCCAGGCAAATTGTTAAAAAATCTTTTACCCATATAAGAAGGTGTCCTTTCCACAAGATTTAATCTGTGTATAGGATATTGAAAATCTGTATGAAATCTAGTGTTATAATTGTGCTGATTATTTTCACTGTGGAGTTTTTCAAAATTTGATTTCACATACAATAAACATTTAAGAATATACAAATTAGGGACGGTTAGAATCTTTAGTTCTTTAAAAAGTTGCTTGCAAGAATGTTTTACGGGTTTAAAAGTCATAATTCTAAGTATTCTTTTTTGAAGTTTAAAAAGTTGATACGAATCAGATGTGACGCCCCAAAGCTCTATTCCATACTGTAAAATTGACGAAAATAAAGCGTGATAAATCATTAGTCTAGTGTTTAAATCAACAACATTTCTTAAGACCAACATTTGAAAACATACTGAATTTAACTTTTTAGAGGTGTTATGAATGTGATTCTTCCAATTCAATAAACTATCTACATCAATTCCTAAAAATTTAGCTGTGTTGCTAAAATTTATTTTTTCATTATCAAAA